AATGATACAAATTTTGTTGTATCATTTCCCACTTTAATATTGCAAAGTACAGTCCTTTAGCCCATGCTTGGTCTTGACACCAGTTCCGGTCGTGTGTATAAGCCTTTTTTGTCAGTTTGCAACATAACGCCACGCGCTTATAGGATACCTTAATGCCACTCCCGGGACATTTTTGACGGAAGTTTTATCGCAAATGAGCAGTTATTGTTATATGGATGTTTGTGTGTGGTTTGTATAAAGGTAATATAGACCTCGAATTTAATCTTTATTACATGATATATCTACACTTAGTTATTATTATTTTTGTTTGATGCATATTTGTGGTTGTAATATTTGTTCTCACTTTACATTTCATATTGTATTAATACTTCTGTATATGACTGTAAAGGTGACCCACTAATTAAAGTTAACTACAACTGTGGTAGAGGTGTTGTGTAGATTTTATTGTAATGACAGACTTCGTGTCTAAATTTTACATACTACAAATTTTAGAGTTTTAATCTAGTAACAGGTACCGTAGGATATAAACTAATAATAATTACCCTTTGGCAGGTATTAGTTTCTCAGTAAGCTTCAGGTTAGTTCTATGAAGTCCACTATCGTCCTTCTTGGGGGTATATCAGTTAGCCGTCTGTCCTGATTAGACTACATCTTAAAGTTTTATTTATGAAAACTTTAGAGTATACCCGATAACATGAATGACAAATATATGTTCTTTATTTATTTTTCGACAGTTTAATAGTTCTGAATAAAGTGAGGTCCCACTATCGTCCTGTGGGGTAGATCAGGTGATTTTGTCTCTCTTAAGACCTGTTAGAGTAGATTCAAAGTTTATTTTCTGGAAAGTTCAGAGTATATACTCGATAGAAGGAAGACAAAGACAAACAAAAATTGTCAAGTTTAGAAGCTTAATGTAAATTTGGTCTTAACAGGGGAAAAAAGAATTTGCACTTCTTTTAACCTTAATACAATTACTTATACTGTGCCGTTTTGAGTTTTAAGGGCCAAAAGTAAAACTTGTTAGCCATGGAATGAGATTCAATCAGTCTTGGTCCGACTGAGTCGGACCAACAAAGTGACCTGTGATCTTGGTGCTAAAATACCCCGATGCTTTTTTTGACACTTATCCTGGGCGATTGGCCATGATCCGGGTTCACCTTTGCGTTGGTTTTGCCTGTGGGCGTGCCAACCTGTGCGAATTTCGCTCCGAGGCACGTGTCACCTTGCGGTAAGTCACAGAGGCACATATCAAACGTCCTCGAGGATGGTAAAGTGTTCCCCAGTTATTATTTGAGGAGACTGGCCTCCTTGCCAAGAATCGTCAGAAAGTTGGCATTTCCTGGGACAGTTTCAACTGGGGACAGGCCAATACAAACGGGGACTGTCCCCGGAAAACGGGGACGTCTGGTCACCCTAAACTAGAGAGAGAATCACTGGCAAGGGGGCTACAACTACAACAAGATGAACATATTTGACCGTGATTTAATTGTTATACACGTTTCAAAATGATGCCGAAGTAACAACATATCGGTTAGTAAAAACCATTAATTAATGCTTTGACAAGTCTGCAGACAGACGGCAGGCGAAAAATCTTTTAAAATGCGTGTTTTCTAAATGGAGATTGGCTAAGCTAACGTTGTAAATGCTCCGACCGTCCACACTCACAACAACGGCCTACAGACATAAATAAACCAGCGACTGTATTCGCCATGACACAGACAGTCTGTGGTTTGTACTTGTTTAACTTTTGTCTAGTTTCTGAACAGATATGAGGAGCTGTGAGCTCTGAGTGCTAACAGCTAGGCTGTGTTGTTTTTCTGGGGCTCTCATTTAAGATGACGTCACGGCTCCGCCTACACTGCGTTACTATATACTATCCCAGTTCCTAAACTGTAATGGCAATGCGCCATAGAGTGAGCCGGTCCTAACGAGGCCTAACCATACCGAGCGAGGCCGAGCGAGGCCGTGTAGTGGAAATGCGCCATTAGAGTTCGAATAGTAAGAACAATCAATACATTCATAAATACTATGAATGGTTGATTGATCTAATTAATCATAAGAATAACAAGAAAATATTAAAATAAATGTGTAACATAACTGAGAGATTTTGAAATATGCCAAAACATTTTTATAACACATCCTGTTATTTTTTAATTTAATATAATTTTCTTTTCACATTAATATATATTGGTTTATTGAAGGTCGTTTTTTTTCTTCATTCCAGCAGTTTCATTAAAACAATTGTGTCAGTCAAGACAAACTGAGCAGAGCCAGTCATGTGATTGGCTTTCAACAAAAGCCAATCACGCTGTGAGATAAAAACAGACAACGACCTTTAAAGCTCACCTATTATGCTATATTTGAACAATATATTATAGTGCCATATCTATACAAAACATGTCTCTGAAGCATTTTGCTCAAAATACCAAACAGATCACCCATTGTAGCATTTCTCATACCCCTCTATTTCAGCCCTTTTACTAAAAGCCCCTTTGGAGCGTCCACATACATAGGCCTGACGTGATAAGCAATTAATTGACTTATCGTACGATAAATAAAAATGAACTCGATAACTTTTCTGACCTCGATAAATTGCCGTTTACATGCCCGGTGAGCTGTGTCTGCCGGCCAGGCGCGCTATGAGGGGCGGGGCTCACACACAGCCAGGTCAGGACACTCTGCGTGCAGCAGTGTAGCAGCCAAATGATAAATGAATAATATAGAGATAGATAGCTCATATTTATTTTATATATATATATATATATAGAGAGAGAGAGAGAGAGAGAGAGAGAGAGTTTCTGTTTTCCAGCCTGAGTCTATTTAATTTATTGTTTTGGTTGTGTGTGATTTAATTTGTTTTCTATAATTTCATTTATTTGTTTTATTTATTATATATCATTTATATATTTGAATATTATTTCACATTTCAATAAAAAGTCCTGTTTGAAAGGATGTACTTGAATTATTATAATATATTATCATTATGTCAGTGGTCTAAAATGGTCTTACAACGGTTACAACAATATTATCCTTTATCACAATAATTTCCGGGGAAATTAATTACCGTGACAGGCCTACACATGCAAGTAGTGAGCTCCGCTTTCTCTCTCGCGGGTTTACCACAAGGACAGGACCTTTTATATCCGGCTTCTTTACGCATATTCTCTCCAGAAAAGTACTTGCTAATGTAAACAAAGACCATATTACTTCCAAAACACGTCGCACATTGTTTCTGATACAGTGTTGTTTCTGATAATGCCGTGTATAAAAGATATCAAAAAGTGCATTTTGCACAACATGTGACCTTTAATATAAAACGTGCCTGATTAAATTCAATATGACCTGTTAGTGTGAGATGGAGCAGGATACACTCACATTTACAACATAAGCTAAGATTCTATGGTTATATTAAATATTTTTCAATATGTATTTGATTTATTAAGTTTATAATACCTGATTTATTTAGTTTTGAATAGTTTGTGTCTCCTTCCTTTCATTTTACTCAAGTACCGTGCTTCCTGACATGAGCCGAAAAATCAGTCAGAAGACGCGTGTGGTGAAGCGGACGGCCAACCCCATGTTCAACCACACCATGGTGTACGATGGCTTCCGGCCAGAGGACCTCAGGGAGGCCTGCGTGGAGATCACAGTGTGGGACCACGACCGCCTCAACAACCACCACATCGGTGGTCTGAGGCTGGGGTTAGGCACAGGTGAGACCCCCCGCTATCACTCTTCTGCTGGGTTGGGTACAGATTCTTACCTCATGTGGTCAATTTGTTATATTGGGCAATATGAATACAATAATAAAATGAGCATTGGTTTTAATTGGTTTGAACATGGTCACATGGGATTAAAGTGTGATCAGAATGTGCGTTCAATTAGTTTACGCTGGGTGTGCATACTGTCCAGATAATGAACAGATCAGACATATTGCCTCTTCTGGAGATGGTATGCAATAAACACTGTTATTTATCACAGCGAGGGCTGTTTGCGTAGATGTAAATTGGGTATTTGTTTTGGCCTCACGCTCAATTAGTAGTTGTTTTAAATGTGTGTGTCATTTGTGTTGCGCTGTGTTCAGGGAAGAGTTACGGGACGGAGGTGCTTTGGATGGATTCAACGCCAGATGAAGCAGATTTATGGCAGAGGATGTTACAATCTGATGGTGAATGGGTGGAGGATGTTTTACCTCTGAGGAAGTTGGTGATGGCAAAAAGCATGTCAAAGTGAGATTGTATAAAATGTGTTGATAAATGTGATGAAACGTTACGAGAGCATAGCATATGGATGGATCTACAACAGTCTGTCTGATGGGTATCATATCTGTATAACTGATGATCATCGTGTGGTACTTTGGTTTTTAGTAGGGGTGCACCGAATGGGAAATTCTTGGCCGAAACCGATACCGAAAATAGGAAACAGTTGGCCGAAAACCGAATGCCGAAAGGCCGAAAATGATTAATAGAAATATATATATAATATAATGTATACATTTTTTACCAATGTTGTTCAGCTACCTGATTATGGAAAAAGACATGATTATGGCAAAACTTAACTTAAATAATAATCACTATTATGGGTCCATAAAACATTTATTCAGCACTTTTGAATGCGAGTCACAGTACATTAATTCCAAGTCAAGTGCATTTTCTCTGTAGGATAACTACAACAAAGTGCATTCAGAACAAAGCCAAGGTGCTTTAAAACTGCATAAACATCTAGGCCAGTAGGCCTACACCAAAATAGTGTAAATAAAGACTGTAACAGCCATGCCTTCAACAACAACAAATGCACCTATAAGTTTGGTAACTTAACGTGTTGTTGTGATGACGTAATCAAAACGCGGCGACAAGCACGGCGCGCGACCATGCTCGCGGCTGGCTCACAGCCAACATGTCTGCCTCTTTGAGATATTTCAAAATATCAGAGAAAGAGGCGCGGATTGCAATTTGTAAAACGTGTTGAGCTGACATTTCTCGAGGGGGTGTAACTGCAAAGACTTTCACCACTTCGGGATTACTCCACCACTTGAAATCAAAACACCCGGACAAATATGCGGAGTAAGATCAATCACAACCCTGTTCTCTGACATTCGGTGATATTTTTTCGGTGCTAAAAACCCTTTCGGCCGAAAGTTTTTTT